AGCAGGTCCTGTTCCATTTCCCCCTCAATAGACACATTCTGGGGATGGAAACATTGGTTCTCAAGCTTAGTGTGTTCCAGATTCACCTGGCATAACCACAGACAACATGCAAATGAATGCACTCCAGTGTTTTCCAATAAAACTTTATTTACAAGAACAAGCAGTGGGCCAGGTTTTGTCCTTGGGCCATGGTTTGCTGACCCCTGTCCCAGAGCATGCAGCAGCTGCCCTGAGGACCTGTATTTTCCAGAGCCAAGAGCTCACACTGACTTCTCCCTGGAGGCCATTGTTTTGAAATAGCAGTCAAACTTGAGGAGTTATTTTTGAAGCCTCCCTGGGCTCAGCAGAGGATCCCAGCTCTCTAGCTGAGCGAGTCAGGCCCTTGGAGACAGGACTCAGTCTCAGAGCCAAAGACAAGAATCACTCAAAAGTCCTCCTTGGACTGACCTCACATGCCCCTCAGCCCCATGAGTGAAGGTCAGAGACGAAGGCAGCTAACAGTCCCCAAACAGGATCCTTCTTGGACACATTTTGGCATGAACCAATCCAAGACCGTCTGTTCTGCCACCAGCAGGCTGTGTGACCTTAGGCAAATCACTGCACCTCTCTGAGTCTCTGTTTCCTCCCTTGTAACATGCGTGTACTAGTCCAACCTTGAAGGGGCTGTTGTGAGGATTTTCTATGAAATAATGCTTGTGAAAAGCTGAGCACCTTATGCTGAAGGAATAAAACTAAACTCAAAAGTTTACAGTCTGTGATCTTATCTTCTATGATATGGTTGAAATAACAAAATAAATGAGATGGAGATGGGTTAGTGGTTACCAGTGCTGGGGTTTGTGGGAAGCGGTGAATGCTGCTCTAAAGGGACAGTGGGGGGATCCTTGCAGTGAGGGAACAGTCCTGTGTATTGACCACGGTAGTTACTCGAAGCTACACAGGTGAGAAAATTGCAGAGAAGGAAATGGGTGAGACAAACACACACACACACAAATGGTGTCTGTACAAGTGTGCTCTCTCTGGATTGTAACAATATCCACTTCCTGGTTGTGTAATAATATTGCACTCTAGTTTTGCAAGATGTTACCTTTGGGGGAAAATGGGTAAAGGATACCTCTTCCTCCTTTTTTTTTTTTTTTTTTCCTTTTGGCAATTTCCTGTGAATCTCTATTTCAAGATAAAAATTAAAAAAAAAAAAGTTGAGCAAGGTGCCTGGAAAATAATATGCTCTGAAGATGCCGTCCATGACGTGCCCCTGAACTCCACAACTGTTTGTGCTTTCTGCTGACGTCAAGGAGTTTCTATTGTTTCAAGTGGGACTTCTTAATGGGTGAGGTTTGACATGATTGCTTAGAGATCTCATTGTTGAATGAGATCACGGCCGGGAGAAGACCCTTTAGATCCCTGTAATGACTCCATTAGGTACTACCTCTGACTACTTCCATTTTACAGATGAGGAAAAGGAGAGTCCAAGCTGCCAAAAGTCAATACGGCTGGAAAGGGGCAGGGCTGAGATGTAAATCCCAGCCCATCCCATACTTGACCCCAGATGCTGATTACAGTCCCAATGTCAGACATCTCTATGAGAGCAATTAGCTCACTTGGCTTTGTGTCATAGAGCAAGCAATAGCAACATGGTAAGTACACAAGAAACAGTAGCCTTAACATTATTATCCATATAAAAGTGTATTCAAAATTGATATGTCAGGACTTCCCAGGTGGTACAGTGGTTAAGACTCTGTGCTTCCAGTGCAGGGGGCATGGGTTCGATCCCTGTTTGGGGAAGTTCCGCATGTCGCACAGTAGGGACAAAAAAAAAAATTGGTATGTCATTACTAGCCTTAACCAAAGGGTCAAGGTTAGGATCACCTGTGATGTCAAGTAGGCCTCAGGTACCCCTGATGCGATGGGATGGGGAGGGAACTTTACCTCTGCAGTCTTCCTCCCCAAAACCTATAATCCCAATTTAATCATGAGAAAATACCAGCCAAGCCCAGATTGAGGGACATTCTACAAAAGACCTGGCCAGTACTCCTCAGATCGGTCAAGGTCATGAAAAACAAGGTCACGAAAAACTGTTACAGATCAGAGTAGCCTAAGGAGACGAAGGACTAAATACAATGTGGGATCCTGGGACAGAAAGACATTGATGGGAGAACTGAGGAAATCCAAATAAAGTCTGGAGTCTAGTTACTAGTCATGCACCAATATTAAATACTGATGTTCATTTCTGAGTTCTGGCAAATGTACCTCGGCCACGTAAGATGTTAGCATTGTGGGAAGCTGGGTGAAGAACCTTCTGGAACTCTACACTATCTTTGTAGCTTTATAATGTTGTAACTTTTTTGTTCATCTAAAATTATCCTGAAATAAAAATTTTTAAAATTGGTATGTCTTTACTAGAATGTATATATATAATAGATAATAATCATATATTTTAATAAAATTAAAATACTATTAATAAATATCACTACATTCAATATCTTTAACTAAATTAATATATTTAATATGTTGATAAAATGAATTCATATATTTTATAATGTGGGTAATATAAATTCATATATTTGATAGTGTGGAAATAGAAATTCATATATTTAATAGTGTAGGTAATATAAATACATATATTTCATAGTGTGGGTGATATAAATTCATATATTTAATACTGTGGGTAATATAAATTCATACACTTAATAGTGTGGGTAATATAAATTCATACACTTAATAGTGTATGTGATATAAATTCACACATTCAATAGTGTGGGTGAAATAAATTCACATATTTAATACTGTGGGTGATATAAATTCATACACTTAATAGTGTGGGTGATGTAAATTCATATATTTAATAGTTTGGGTGATGTAAATTGACATACTAATAATCCATAAGCTGACATTACTAACTCATAAATAATAATAAGAACCTATCTCTTGCTGACAGCCTGCAGTGGGGCAATGGCTTGATCACAATGCATTTTTAGGAAAATCTTTCTGGTAGCCAGTGTGGAGGATGGAAAGGGCAGAGGACAAGGCCAGGGGTGAGAGGTAAGGGACCAGCTGGGAGCTGGGTGGTGGACTCAGACAATCACAGGGGGGAATCCCTATTCTCCCGCTTGGGCAAAAGAGATTCCTTCTTCCGCTGCCTCAGTTTTCACCTCAGAGGCAGGTACATTGATGAAGTATGACTCCTTAGCAGGGGACGGCTCTCGACTCACACAGGGTGACCCACTTTTCCAATTTTCCCGGAACTGTACTGGGTTTGGCCCTAAAAGTCCAGCATCGTGGGAGTGGCTCAGTCCCAGGCAAACAGGGATGGGGTCATCGTAGTACACGTCCCCCAAAGCCAGGAGCCTGCTTGGGAAAAGGAAAGGAGCCAGGGAAGGAGAGAAGAAACCTAAGAGACTGAAATTAACCAGGACTTGACTTAACTCTTGTTGGATCAGAAAAATAATCTTTCTCAGAACTAGGGCTCCGGGAGCTAGGTTGGTTTGGCATTTATAGAAATGCAGACTGTGGCGTTGGGACAAAACGTGATGTGTATTTTAAACGGGTGGATGTTTCCTGGGGACCCGCAAGGGGAGTCCCGGCAGCCTCACCTGACCGGTGGTAGCGGTGCCACTTCTCCTGGGTGATGAGGCCCAGCCTGGCGGCCTCCTGGCTCCAGAGCGCAATGCAGAGATCAGGGTGGCCTCCTCGGGCCCAGGGGCCTCCCCGCTGCTCAGGGTCTGCAGCAGGTAGGTGCGGGGAACTGCGTTCTCGTCTGTCCGGAAGCGGCGTGCCACCAGCTCCAGGTCACGTGGCCTGGCGCTCAGCTGAGCTTTCAGCGCCTCCCACTCCTTTTCCTCGATCAGCGAGGGGACGGGACGGGGGCCGTACTGGTCACCTACGAGGGCCTGGAGGAGACAGGGGTGTGGGGAGTAGAGGTTCAGATCTTGGCTTGGGCACTTAGATCTGTGACCCTGGGTGAGGCATGCCGAGCCCTTAAAGTGGTCCTGGTGGTTGTACCATGGAGATAATTATATTAAAGTAAGCAGATAGGTTAGTGGGTCCCCAGAGGAAGAGTACCGGCAATGGCTTTCTTGACATAAGAGAAACCATTTTGGCCTAAGCCATTTTGTGATCTAAGCCTGGCTGCAATGCTTGTCCTTGAACACATCTCAGTAATCAATGATCTTAAGGGAAGTGAGGGAATGCAGGAATAATGGGAAAGCATTCAAGAAACAATAGTCCAGTGGTAAAAAAGAGTCCCAGCTCCTCCTCAAGGGATATACATATAATATATCTTTGAGTTCTGCAGGAACTAAGACCCCTACCCACGTGGAGGGGAGAATGATGATGTGGACCCTCCTGACTTCAATCAACTAAAACTTGGACTCTGTGGACCTTTGCCCCAATTCTATGCTGAATTCTCCTCTGTTCAAGCCCCTTCATGAATATACATGTACCCTGAGCTTCAAACTTCCCCAGTTTTGCTGTTCGGGGAGACACTGCTTTGGGAAAGGTCCCCGGTGTTCCCCTTATTTGCTGCAAGTCATAATAAATCCTTCTCCTGATCTTCCACTCGTGAGTGAAACAATATTGCCTGCCATGCCAGTAAACAAAGGATGTTGCAGCCATCGAACCATCACATTACAGCCTCCCTGATGGTGAGCCCTGAGGAAACTCAGGAGGGAAACAGGATGCCTGCCGTCAAGGAGTCTGCCACCGCAGCCACCCCCAAAGATGCACCCTGAGGAGACTCAGGATGAGAATGCACAGGATGCTGGCCCCAGATAGCTGAGGTGCATATCAAAGGAATGATTTCAGTGAGCCCAAACTCTTGCATCTTCCCATACATAGGAAAGCAATAAATTCCTTAACTTAAGATATCTGGTTTTCTTTAACAGTAATCTTTTGATATTCTTACTACATGGTCTTTGTTGCAAAAACTCCTATCTATATATCCTGGCTTCCCCCTTTCCTCTTTGGAGCAGTCTCTGTGTTATTTGAGATGCTGTCTCCCAGGCTTGAAGTCCTAAGAATGTCCACCAAATAAAACATAACTCAACTTTTAGGTTGTGCATTTATTTTTCAGTCGACATGATTTATCTAAGGATCTAAAACTGGAAGACTATCCTGGATTATCAAAGTGGGCCTGAAATGTAATCCCAAGAGTCCTTATCAAGAGACAGGCAGAGGAAGATTTGACACAAACAGAAAAGGAGATGATATGACAACAGAGGCAGAGACTGGGGGAGTGCAGCCACAAGCCAAGGAATACCTGGAGACCCCAGAAGCTGGGGAAGACAAGAAGATTCACCCTGAGAAAGCTAGGAAGGAGTACAACCCTGCTGATACCTTGATTTCAGACTTCTGGCCTCCAGATTGTGAGAGAATAAATTTCTGTCGTTTTAAGCTCCCTGCCCCCCACATTTGTGGTCATTGGTTATGACAGCCACAGGAAACGCCTTGTTTACCTATTACTAGGTGCTGGCTTGTCCCAGCAATAGAGCTGTGACAAGAATGAAGGCCTCCCTTGGCTCTGCCCAAATCTCACGCTCTGATGTGGCCCTGGGGGCAGGACTGTCCCCAGTAGCAGCCAGGGAGCAGGGCCAGATGAGGGGGGGAGGTGAACATGGGTCTCCAAAGTGCCGGGTGGATCCTATCTTTAGAATTTGATATTTTGTTCCTCATGGATTTGGGGGGTCAATTTTGATATTAAAAAAAACATTGCATCAAAATATTAATTATCTTGATAACTAAGATTTTGGAAGGAGTTGCAAGGTCCCTGGGCCGTTTGGGCCTGGGGGAAGCTCAGAGATCATCCTCCCTCCTGTCCCCCATCCCCCATGACACCTGGAAGCTGCATTGTGTGGTTTTTTTGTTTTTTTTTTTAAAACAGAAATTGTATTTTATCATCACTCCTCTGCTTACAAAAACAAACAATAAAACGTCTATGAAGGCTTTCCATGACACTTAACATAACCCTTAGCTTTGGCCCATAAGGCCCATGTGAATTGGTTCCCCCCTCCCTGTCTCTCCAAGTTTATCTTGTACCACTAATCCCCTTTTCCATTTTGCTTCTGTCACACTGACCTTTCTGTTTCTATAATAAATGTGCTCATTCTCACCTCCAGCTTTCACAGTTGCTGATCCCTCTGCATTGTGCTTTTGATTGCCTGCAATTTGAGTTGCAAAATCGAATTCTTCCTGGAGTTTATTTTCTCCCCACCTCTCTTTTTTCTTTACAAAATTTGTTTCTTTTCTTTTTTCTTTGAAACGCAACAAAATGATCAATCATCAGGCTCAATCATCAGCAAAATTAGAAGACTGGAAAAAAAATGTGTGAAGGAGATACGTAAGCCAGATGGTACAGTCTTTCAAACGTTAGGATGTATTTTAAAGCAATAATTAAAATTGGAAACTATACTCAACACTTTTTAATAACCTATAAGGGAAAAGAATCTGAAAAAGAATATATATGTATAACTGAATCACTTTGCTGTACACCTGAAACTAACACAAAATTGTAAATCAACTATGCTTCAATAAATAAATAAATAAAATAAAGTGATTCAAACTTCCAGTTATAAGATAAATATGTCCCGGGGAGGTAACGTGCAACATGATGAATGTAGGTAACACTGCTGTACAGTATATCTGAAAGTTGCTAAGAGACTAAATCCTAAACATTCTCATCACTAGGGAAGAACATTTTCCTTTTTCATATCTATATGAGCAGATGGGTGTTAACTAAACTTATTTAATAATCATTTCACAACACATATAAGTCAAGTCATTATGCTGTACACTTTCAGTGCTGGATGTCAATTATATCTCAATAAGATTGGAAAAAAAAAGACAGATTGATGCCAGCATACAAAAAAAAGTATAGAACAAAAGAATGAAAACACAATGGTAACTGTATAGATAAAACTTGATACGTAATAAAGAAAGCTTTTCGCATCTGCTGCCAGGTCTTAGTCTTTTTTTTAAGGAGACAATCTCTAAAGGCAGCCCTAGAACTTCTGGAAGTGCTGGAAGTGTTCATATCCTTGCTGTCCAATATGCTGGCCACTTGACACAAGTGACAACTGAACCACTGTAATGTGGCTGGTGCAACCAAGGAGGTGAAATTTTAATTCTACTTGACTTTAATTAACTTAAATTTAAATCACCACATGTGGTTCATGGCTACCGCATTGGGCAGTGCAGTTTTAAGGCCAAACAGGCCTCATCTATTTGTCTTTATTTCCCTAGAAAACCATTTTCATATGGGGACCACCCTCTCCTAATTCCTACATTCTTATCTCCAGGAGAGGTTTTTCTGGGAGCTGCTCAAAGCTTGTTTGTGATTAAGATGTATTGGGTAAAGCTACTGTCTTGACTTTTTTCGTCTTTACTTTCTAGGACAGGGGTAGGCAAATTTTTCCAACAAGGGCCAAATAGCCAATATTTTCAGCTTTGCAGGCCAGACGGTCTATGTGTCAACTACTGAACTCTGCCATTGAAGCTGGGAAGCAGCCTTGGGCGATATGTAAATGAATGGGTATGGCCGCGTGCCAATAAAGCCTTATTTATAAAAACAGGTAGGGAGCCAGATTTGCCCCATAGACTGTGGTTTGCTGACCCCTGCTCTAGGATTTATGAGCCAAAATGCCATAGTTCTTGGTGTATCTGAAACTTGGTGATGTAATAAATCAAAACCCTGGAATATCATTTGCTGGTAATAACCCAAACCATTAATTGTGAGCTGGGGGTTGTTCTGGTGACAGAGGGAGTGTAGTTGGGGACGAGAGAAGACCCTGATTGGTCTCACCTAGGGGGGAAGTTTACCCCTGAGGCCGGCTCCAGATAGGGCCACAGAGTCTGCTCCCAACACCATGGGGCACATTGGAGAAAAAAATTTTTGATACCCTGTAGATTTCCACTTTCTCTGTGGTTTTCTAGGACCTCAACATTCCCCAGACAAAGTGAATGAGGTGAAAAACCCGGGGGAAGTTTTGGAGCAAATTCTAAGATCCCTTTGGGCTTCAACACTCTGCTCTCCAACTCACCTGCTGCTTCTACTTGACTGCTAATGTCTGGATCCCAGCTAGCTCCGCAGAAAAAGGAGTGCTGTGATTGATTAGCAATGTCTGCCATAGGCAGGCTATGGAAGATTGGGTATGATAGCAGAAATGCTGCCCACTTCCCTCCACTGACGGGTTTGGATAAGAGGTAGGGGCCATATCCTGGTGGTGGAATGAGAAGTAAGAGCTAATCCATCCCTCCCAAGAGACTCACAACAAAAGCTGGCCCTATGGATGTTTTCTGACACCAGCCAAGCTCCTCCAAGCAGAGTTCCGTGGTCATGTGGTTGGTGGCCTCGTTGTTCCGTATACCCCACCTCAGATCAACCACCTGGAAATAACAAGCGTGGGTTTGTCAGGAAGGTGGTAGGATGGGTGATTTTTTTTTTAATTCCCTTTGATAAAGGTGTAAAATTTCTTCAGTAATTAAAAAAAATTTTTTAATTAATTAATTTATGTATTTATTGGTTGGTTGGTTGTGTCAGGTCTTTGTTGTTTCTCTAGTTGCAGAGAGTGGGGTCTACTCTTCATTGCGGTGTGCGGGCTTCTCACTGAGATAGCTTCTCTTGTTGCGGAGCACGGGCTCTAGGCCTGCAGGCTTCAGTAGTTGCAGCACGCGGGCTCAGTAGTTGCAGCACGTGGGTCTAGGGCATGTGGGCCTCAGTAATTGTGGCGTGCGGGCTCAGTAGTTGTGGCACACGGGCTTAGTTGCTCTGAGGCATGTGGGATCTTCCCGGACCAGGGATCGAACCTGTGTCACTTGCGTTGGCAGGCGGATTCTTAACCACTGCGCCACCAGGGAAGCCCCTCTTCAGTAATTTTTGATAGCCTCTCCTCAAAGAGGGATGTCTGGATCAAAAGAATTTGAATGACACCCATAAGAGAAAAATATCCGACAGACCCAGATTGGAGACATCCTGCAGGACACCTGGGCAGTTATTCCCAAGACTGTGATGGTCATGGGTACAAAGGAGAAGACCAAGGAGCTGTCCCAGCCACAGGAGAGTGGGAAGCTGTGACAACTAAACGTAACAGGGTTCCCTGGCCGGGGTCCTCAACCAGAGAAGGGACACGAATAGAAGACCTGGTGACAGTCAAATAAAGTCCAGAGGTTGCTTAATGGTAACGTCCCAATGTCCATTTCTTAGTTATGACAAATATGCCCTGATAATAGATGTTTACAATATAGGGGAAGAAGTAGGTGTGGGGCATACGGGAACTCTGTACCATAGGCAACTTTCCTGCAAATCTAAATTCTGAACTCAAAAATTTACTTAAAAACATTAAAAAAATTTTTTTAAAGAGCTTGGGCATTTTCAAACTGTTCCTTTTAAAATGACGACATGTCCACACTTGTTCGCAGAGCTTTCTTTGCAAAGGAGGTTTTCGTTTGGCCAGAATCAGGTGTGGCAAAGTCTCCTTGGCAACTGCACGCTCGTGGTCCATTTTTGCCTGCTAGGCAGAAGCCGGCCAGGCAGAAGGGTTCAATTCAAGTAGTGAAGCTGACCCCTCAGAAAGCTGGGTGAGGAGAGGGGGATGGGAATCAGAATGCTCTCCCTGCCTCCCTAAATTCATTTGTCCAGAGGGAAAGTCATAAAATTCCTAATAAACTACAGCATGGGGTGAAAGGAGTACAGAACTGGATGTGGCTGGAGGAGGAAGGGGAGAAGGAAGAAGCGTTAGCCACCAGCTCTGGAAAAGAACCTTCATCTCTCTGGGCCACTGTCTCTCCGACTGCGCCTTGAGGATGTTTAGTGTGTTAGCCACACAGCACCTGGTGGACATTAAAGGGATGAACACGGGGTGTTTCATCGGTGTTCAGCACCTATGTTTTCCTTTTTAGCGTCTCTGCCATTGAATGTCTCATGATCAGTGGCGGGCAGAGTCAAATTCCCATCACAGCACCGCTTCTTTCTTAGTAATATATAAATGCTGGTGGGGGCCGTTGGTGTGATGGATGACAGTCGTAAATGGCAAGAAGGCAGCATCACCTGAAGCTGAGACTCCAAAGACAGTTTGTTGGTTTCCGCTTGGAAATGTGCAGGCAGCAACATCCCCGCCCTGGGATGGGTGCACTCTATTTGCGGCCCGTGGTGACTGCCCAGCTGGTACACCATTAGTGTCCCAGGAAAAAGGCACGTCTCACCTGCCTTCCCGCCCCGGATATCCCACGGCCCTCTTAGATGCCCCCGAAGCTGCCCCAGTGCAGGGAGAGCCTGGGAAGGCAGGACAAAACAACAACAAAGGTGACACGCCCAAGGAGCAGGGTCGCAAGGCAGCCACTCCTAGTATTTTGTGCCACACCACCTGTGCTGACCGCAGTGCCTGTGGCCACGACCCCTCCACTCTCCTTTTTTAAGAGGACTTTAAGCCTCCATGGTGTAACGCTGGCACAAGGTCCCTCTAAGCAAAGAGCCCGTGTGACTGCCCGGGTGGCACACCCTCATTCCCTGACGCTGAGGCAGTGAGGAACAGTCGGGCAATTACCTCGGACATCAGGCCGTGCTTCTGGCAGAAGGTCTGTACTACGGGGTAGGCAGTGCTCTGTAGGGCTTCCCTCTCTGCATCCATATCTGCAAGGAGTGGCAAGGAGGATATGAATAGGAAGAACCCAGAACTCTTCCCTGCCCCACGGCTCTGCTTTTAGCCTCATTTGCTCCCACCAAGACTGGGACCCTTCACAGTGAATCAAAAGATACAAAAAACAGGAGGAAAACCAGAAAGACCAACTATGCGCAGGACTTTCCTGTTGTTACTGCTAAAAGTCCCACATCCCAGGAAACCTCTCAGTCCCAGCTAACCAGGATGGTTGGTCACCTTAGGTTAGAATTGCCAGATAAAATACAGGACACCCAGTTGATTTACATTTCAGATAAACAATGAAAAACTTGATAGCATAAGTATAGCCCACTCCATAGATCCCAGAATTTGCATTTCTGATAAGCCCTGTTCAACTTGCACTTGGGATAAACACCAAATCATTTATTCACATAAGTATGCCCCTCTCTGCACACTATTTGGGTTATACTTATGCTTAAAAGATTATTGGTTGTTTATCTCAAATGCAAGTTGAACTGGGAGCCCTGGTTTTGTTGGCTGGTGGTGGCGGTTTGGTTTTTTATTTTTGCTATAACTCTGGCAGCCCTACCTAGGGTAAACCTTGATGCTGAGACTTTTTCCACCACTTGATTTCACTGTGTGGCCTTGTGCCAAGTGTCAGGCTATCCTTGGTTTCCCCCTCTGTAAAATGGGGGTGATGCCGCTACTTTGCAGGGCTGCAAGCTCCCCAAAGTCAAAAACCTCTGCCTGCCTAGGTCACTGATAATTTCTCAGCCCTCAACCCAGGGGCTCAATAAATTTTGTTTTTGGTATAAATCAGGTGTTTTTGGTTTCGTTTTAATATCCGGAGGTTATTAAACATTTGCCAGCACACACCATGTAGTCTTTGCCTTCATGGAGCTTACAGCCTGGTTGGAGGAGTCAGACATTAAATAAACACATAACTTGAATAACTACAGCTTATGGGGCCTGGGGCTTCATGGGTTCCAGGACCTGCTGGAGCCCAGTATGACTACAACACATGGGTGAAGTGAGAATCAAACAGATATAGCTGAGGAGTGAACAGGGTCCCCTTCATGCAGAGCTTTGTAGCTACAGGAAGATTCAGGCACTTTTTAAGCCTAGAGTGTAGAATGTTCATCATTAATATTTGTTGCAATATCATTTGCTACTCAGAGTAACTCTGTCAAGTCAGGCTCTGAGCCTGGCTTATGGAGGAGGAAACAGAGGGTCAGGGAGGCTCTCCCTCACCAGTTCCTACGTGGGTCACTGTCCCAGCTGCATTCACATCCAGGTCTCTTAGAGGACCCTGCGAGCCATGCCCATTGCCCTGGCATCCCCTGAGCTCTCAGCCCTGCCCAGTCCCTTACCTGAGACGATAGAGCTGATGAAGGTGGCCACACTGCTGGATGGAAGTGCCGGGAGGAGGCCTGACTGACCCTGGAGAGGCCGCCGGCGGGTGCCCGGGCTGAGGGCCGTGACGTTCATGCTGCCCGCCCACCTGGACAGTCTTTCCCCAGGAAAGGACCTGGGCCTCAGAGACCTCACGCCAGTGGCCAGATGGCCTTCCTAGGAGGCCAGCCAGGCAGGGCCATCTGGAGCAGGGCTCCCATCTCACTCTCTCAGCTCCCCTCGGCTACCTGCATGCTCTGTCGCCTCCAGCGCCCCCAGGGGGCTGAACCAGTGGCTCTCCACTGCTCTGCTTGGTCTGCAAGCACTAATGGGGGAATGTTGGACAGTGGCCTCCCAGCCAAGGCCCCTGGATGTTGACTCCTCCAGGCACCAGAGCCTTTTGCCCCTCAACCAATAGCTCCTCACCCCGGGAGCTCAGCGGTCACCATAGCAACTGTGGTTTCCTGGCGCTTGGTGTTGGGGCCCAGGGACCAGCCAGCCTCCCAAACACCTGGGTCTCTTGGGGCTCCATGAAAGTTGAGCCTGGGTCCAGGTGTGCAGATGGAGGCCGTGCGATGCTGGGAGCCATGCCCAGTCCTGGCAGGACAGGCAAGAAGGACAAACTCAGTGGAACCTCCCCACCCCATCCTGTGCTCACTGATGAAGCACAGGTGCCAGGTGTACTATTTAAGCCAGCAGTTCTCAACTGAGGGCCATTCTGCGCCCCCCTAGGGGACATTGTAATGTCTGGAGACATTTTTGGTTGTAACGACTGGGAGAAGGGGCGGTACTGGTGTCTAGTGGGTGGAGCCCAGGGATGCTGCTCAACACCCCACAATGCACAGGATGGTGCCACCACGGAGAATTACCAGCCTGCAAATGTCAGCAGTGCTGAGAAACTGGGCAACCAGTTTTAAATCAAGTCTAGTTGGATCTCTTTGCCTGTAGGAAGTGTGGAGCCTGAGGACCGCTCTCCTTGGTAAGAAGAGAGTTTAGCAAGTCTCCAGAGGGGCAGTTAAGGACCTACCCATATGAAACTGAGATGTGTTCTTTGAAATAATCAAAAACACCACTTGAACAACATGGATGGATCTTGAGGGCATTATGCTAAGTGAAATAAGTCAGAGAAAGACAAATACTGTATGATCTCACTTACATGTGAATCCTAACGAAAGCCCAACTTAGAACAGAGAGTAGAATGGTGGTTGCCAGGGACAGTAGGGTGGGAGAAATGGGGAGATGTTAGCCAAAGGGTACAAACTTCCAGTTATAAGATATAGCATGGAGATTATAATTAATGATACTGTATTATACACCCAAAAGTTGCTAAGAGAGTTAAATGTTCCCACCGCAAAAATGAAATGGTAATTATGTGACATGATGGAGTCACGTTAGCTAATGCTATGGTGGTAACCATCCCGCAATACATAAGTACATCAAATCGACACGTGATATACCCTAAACTTACACAATGGTATATGTCAATTATATCTCAATAAAGCTGGGGGGAAAATAATCAAAAACATGATCAGGGAAAGACCTTCTCAGGACGTGACCTATTGAAAATGCTTTGGTGATCTTGGTCATGCCCACCCACCTCTCAATGTTAATAAACCACAGACAGGAGAAATGGATACCTTGGCATCCATGGACTTGCTTGGAGTGCCAGCTCCGCCATCACCTTCTTGGAGGACTTAAGCAAACAGCCTCTCTCCTGGGACATCAGCTCCATCTTCTGTGAAATGGGAGGGAGAACAGCTCAGGGGTGGGCTAGGGTGAGGAGAGAGAGGCATTCACCTCAGAATCAACACGTAAGGAAGCACAACGTGCCTGAAAATCAAAATGAATGCCAAAAGGTCTGTGATGAACAAAATGTGAACGAGGTATTTGGGAGAAAGGTATGTAATGTCCCCACTTTACATACGGGCGCTCAATAAATAGTGTTACCAGTTCTACCTAAAAGTCTGAACTTTTTCCTACCTTTTCCTTCTCTGTCTCAACTTCCCTTCCCTGCCTGTCCACCCAGCAAAGACTCTGCTGTTCAGGGGTCACCAGGACCACCCTAGGTTTGGAGGATTCACTAGAAGGACTTGAAGAATTCACAAAAGCTGTTTTACTCACTGTGATGGTTTATTACAGTGAAAGGATACAGATTAGGACTTCCCTGGGGTTAAGACTCGGGGCTTCCACTGCAGGGGGTGTAGATTCAATTCCTGGTTGGGAAACTAAGACCCCACATGGAGTGGCCAAAAAAATTAAAAAAAGGATACAGATTAACAGTGGTTGCCTTTGGGCAGAGAGCTTAAAGGCCTTGATTGGAAGGGAAACTTACTTCTCATGATGTAAGCTTTTATATAACTTAAGGTTGATTTTAAATATGCATTTTCCATTTTAAATGCTAGTAACTAACAGAAAGGATGCCATCATGGTAGTCATTCAGAACTCCAAAATGCCTCTTCTAAATGAGAGAAAAACAGTTACACTTGATGTCTCTTTGATGCTGCCTTATTTTTGTAAATGTTTTATCACTAAAACTGTGAGCTGAAAGGAGATTGTGAATGTAAGAATATTGGTTCTGTGAAAAAGATTAACAAGCAAGTTCTACTTGAGATTGGGTAGTTAATGAGGGCCTCTTTGAGAAAGTCACCAAAAAAAAAAAAAACAGATGCAGATGAAAACAGCCAAGGGAAGAGGAGATGCATAAGGCAGCATGCAGGAAAAAAACAGTGTTGAGCTTCCAATTGTCCCCTCCCAGTGGAGTCATGTGGGAAGCCTTTAATTCTCACAGCAACAGTGTGTGACAACATGCATGGTGTACTGCCAACCACAGAAACTTACCTTAGCCTTGTTGTCCAGGGTTTTCTCTGGTGTTGGTCACATAGACATGGCTGACCTCAGTTTCCAGCCCCTCCAGAGGTCCAGCTGATACTACTTGGCCCAAGTCCCCAACTATAAGTCACATTGTTAGCATAGATTATCTGGCATATCCCAAGGTCCCCAGGTAAACCAAGACACTTTTATCAGGCAGGATATTCCAAGGACTTAGAGATCACCTCCCAGGAGCTGGGCAAGGGCCAAATCTTTCACGTTCAGAGTGTGGACAACCCAGGCCTGCTGAGTTAATTCTTTGCTGCACAGACTCAATAAATATTGTGACACTGAGTTGACTGTCACCATTTTACGGATAAGGAAACTGAGGCTCAGAGTGAGAACTTTCACTAGCCTGGAAGGGCAGAGTCAGTCAGCGAGTGCTGGTCTGGGACCCTGTCCTCCAGGGAACTCCCAAGGCCAGCCTGGCCATCCAGCCACCTTCCCACAACTCACTGGACCCTCTGATTCAGGTGCACCCTGCTGACCTCACCCAAGCCCCAGCTCTGGACTCCAATGTTGGTTTAGGCTTCCTCTTAGCCCCTCCTCACAAGTCTCCTGACCTTGAATTTGCATCCCCTAAATCTCTGTTCCTTCCCGCATTTCCCTGGGTCCCCAGTAGGCCCCTCGGACCAGACCTCACTCCAGTGCATGGCCATGTTCTCTTGGTTACCACCTCCTGACTAGGATGATTGGAAGGTTTTGACCTTGACATACATACTAGGCTTTTTTTCTATTCCTCTAGCCC